TGTAGAGGTGCAGTCAGTGTATTTTTATGGCCCCAGAAGGAACCAAAAACCCAATCTTAAACAGGAAACAAGGGATAAATGTCTACTTCTGTTCACTTGATAGGGAAGGATATGAACCTGGGGGATATACAACCCTATTTACTACTATATAGAAAAAAAATAAAATAAGTAAAAGAAAAAATTAAGAGAATAAAGAGTAAAAATTTTGCAGTTTAGGTGGAGATGTTAGAAGTGTAGAGTTAAGCCAAGAGCATTTTTTTTTTTTTTTTTTAAAGCAATTCACCCCAAGAAAGGTGGGAGTGCCACTAGCACACAAGGGGTTACAGAGGACTGAGAACAAGAGTAAAGAGGCATATTTGGGGAAAGGATACATAGAAGGACTGGGAACAAGTTCAGGGTGTCATATGTCGATTGACATTACACTTGAATATTTGAATATTATAGTCATCGGGGAAGCAAGTAAGAGGAAGGGAGTTCCACAGATGGGAAGTGCAAGAGAAGAAGCTGTTTGAGTAGAAGAGACGGTTACATTTAACCATTTTGACAGTGAAAGGGTGGGACCGAGATGCCAGCCTGGTAGCTCGCTTAAATTCATGCAGTCTGGGAACCAGCAAAAGTAGCTTGTCGGAACAGTTGCCATGAAAATACTTGTAGAAGAGATAGAGGGAGGCCATGGCATGTCTGTGGGATAGTGATTGTAGACTAGATGCCAGATCAGGACCTATCATCTTGCATATTTGTCTCTGGATTTTGTCAAGGACCTCGAGACGTACAGTGAGAGCACCAGACCATATATGACAGCAATATTCCATGCAAGGACAGATGGTTGATTTATAGATTTGAAGGATGGACTCAGACAAGAAAAACTTTATGGCACAACACAGAGAACCAACTTTCCTTGTGGTAGATAAAGCTATTGATTCAATGTATTTATTTCACTTCCTGTCAGTGGACAGTGTGAGACCAAGCAGGCATAACAAGGCACTCTTGAGGAGTTGGGAATCAGCCATTCTGATGGGAGGCAGGGAGGGTTTTCTGTGGTGGGTAAAGGAGTGCAGTTTTGTTTTGGAGGCATTAAAGTTTAGAAGCCATTTCCTGTCCCAGTCAACCACAGATTGGAGGTCCTTTTTGAGATCAGCAGCCAGGTCTGTTTTATCAGATTTACTATTGAGGCAGGAGTAAATAGTAATGTCGTCCATGTAGATGTCAACTTGGGAACTAATGACGACATCAGGAAGGTCATTGATGAAGATCAGGAAGAGTGTAGGGCCCAAGACAGAGCCTTGGGGAAAACCAGCGTTCATGATAAAGGAGATGGAGGATAGCCTGTTTAGGATGACCTTCATTTCACGGTTTGACAGGAATGATTGTATTAAGTCAAATAATTGTCCTGTAATACTATATCCCTGAAGCTTACAAAGAAGGCCAGCATGCCAAACCCTATCAAATACTTTTGTGATGTCTAGATCCACGGCTCAAGCTTCTCCATTATTATTGAGTGCTTGGTATACAAATTCAGTTATGGCCGTGCGCACATCAGCGGTAGATCGGGCAAAACGGAAACCATATTGCTTCTTGGAGATTATGTGAAATAAGGTGCTTAACCACTTCAGTGTTGATTAAAGCCTCAAAGACTTTACCAGAGTGGTAGGAGACTGATAGGATGGTAGTTAGATGGGTCAGAAGGGTCACCAGAGTTCTTAAAGACACGCACAACAGATGAGGTCTTCCAACAGGCTGGAAAGCAAGAATCGGTGAGGCAGTAGTTGTAAAGTTTAGAAAGGAAAGGAGCCAATTCAGGAGTACATTTCTTCAAGACAATGGCCGGTATCCCATCCCCACCACTAGCCTTATGGGAGTCTAATTTAGAGATAATGTCCAATATCATTGTTGGGGTTATGTGCATCTCAGTAGAGCCTCAGTTCTAGGGGAAAAATCAGGTGTGGGTACATCAGATGAGTCTAGCGTTGAATTAGATGAGAATTTACGATCAAAGCATTCAGCCTTATCAGCTGAAGAGCTCAGGATCTCAAATTGGTTGAATACAGGGGGTATTGTTGTTCAGCACGCTTTTGCAGAACCACTAATAATCTTTTGAACCAAACTTGAGACATAATACGTTGTTTCATTCTTTTGGCAAAGAGTAACTGTGCTTCTTTGAGGACATGCTTGCACTCGTTACAGGCAGTGACAAAGAGATATCTGTTGCAATCAGACGTCTCTACAGTACAGATGGAAGTAGTGATTCATGTGGGCAATAGCTGCTGAGCAAGCAGCTGAGAACCAAGGGGATGAACGTGATTTCACTATATATTTTCTTGCAGGGATGAAAACCTCAATTTCAGCTTTTACCCAGGATGAGACCTAAGACACACATTTTGGGGCAGGGAGGTTAAAGACAGTATTTCAGGGGACATCACGAAGGAAATCTCGGAACGAGTCCCAATCTGCCTATTGATAATAGAAAGATGTTCTGTTGGTAGGAGGTTTTTTGCTGGGAGAGGAGCAGAAGGAGATGTTAACAGACACAACGGCATGATCAGAGTTGCCAAGAGGGCAGAGCTGCATGGCACAAGACTCGGGGATAGAGGTAAAACAGAGATCAAGAAGGGAAGCCTTACCATTATGGTTACTGGGGAAACATGTAGGAAAGTCAACCACTTGTGCATGTATTCAAGTAGAGATAATTAATTATGTAACCACCATTCCTTAATGAATTTTAACTATTTAGATTATAAGTTATTAAGTTGTGTTGTTTCCTAAAAATTAAAAAAAGAACTTTTGGCAGGTTGACGCTCATTAAGAAGTGGAATTAACTATCAGCTTACATTTTTCTTTTTACTGAAACAATATCTTCAAGTATTTTTCTTTATAAAAAATATTTGTCATCACCCAGCAATTTTTAAAAATATTCACAAGATATTGAAACAGCTCTACAGCATTATGCTGCCTCCACCATGTTTGATGCTAGGGATGGTATTCTTCAGATTGTAGGATTCTCTTTTCCTCAAAATGGTAGTCCTGTCGTTGTGAGCAAATAAGTTTGGTTTCATTAGACTACAGAACAGAGTGCTAAAAACGTTCATGTTTCTTCAGAAAGATCCTCACAAACTTGAAATGAGCAATTAAGTGGTACCTCTTCAACAATGGTGTCTTCCGGTTGACAGCCTGCTACTTCTATTAAGAGTTTGAGTAAACACTGACCTTGAAGCATGAACTCAGCTGTTAAATTCGATTTCATCACTGCAGTTCTTATCTTTGGCTCATGATTGACCATTCTAATTAACATCCACTCATCCTGTTTTGAAAACAGTTTCTTTCTGTAACATTCACTCTTGTTCTTCAAACCGGTATTTTGATGCTTCATGATTATGTTGCAAACAGTTGATCTAGCCATATTGAAATTCTTAGAAATTGTCTTATACCGACCTCCCGCAGTGTGAATATCAACAATCCTCTTCCTTAAGTTAGGACTGAGATTCTGCATCCTTTGCTTTGATGTCACAGACAGAATAATATGCTAACCAAAAGATGATTGCAAAAAGATTGTGCAAGAAATGTCACATAGTCTTGCCATGCGTTATTTTAGAAGTTTCTATATTTTAGAACATTTTAAGGACAACATAATCTCTATTTGATATGTCTTCTTATATTGTAGCCCAAATCAGTTTGCAATGCAATAATCAAATTGTTATGCAAGTGCCAATAATTTTGAACTGTGCATGAAATTTTTATCAGCTGATATTACCATATTAAACATCCCTAGCTGCCTCCTTTGGTAAAATTTTTGCTTTGGCTATTAACATTATGACACACGGGCATTTTCAAAGACATCTAATTTCAGCAAAAAATTCAATAAAAAAACTTTTGACAAGGAGTGCCCAATAATTAATTGTGTGCATGAGTACACACGTACACCCACACACACATATATATATATATATATATGAGAGAGATAGATGCTGATAGGTGCACATCCTGTGCCCCTTGATACACAAAATATCTTGAATGATGCAGTAACTTTCTCATGTGTGCATCCCAGGGACACAAGGTTTCCCATGAAAAGCAATACACTGCATAAAATCAATGTAACTAATATATTCTTTCTATAACCAAATACAAATCATTTGTCAAATGAACTAGATATTGTTGATAATTATTACATCAATATTTTATTTTTTTTAAACATTTTGTATTTTTTGTTGTTATTAACATACTTTTGAAAACCCTGAGTGCTAAACACTGCAACTAATGAGTAGAGTCATTTGTATTTAAATTTCAGTTAACTGTTCAAATAGCTTTTAACAATGTTCAAAAAATGTCTTCAGACAAAAGAAATGTTTCCTGTATGGGTACATACTGTAGGGAGGCCAATATTTTTTGTAATTTTGAATAATAAACACTAAATTAACAATTTGACGTTATTCTTTCAAATACATTTATTAGTTCTTCCTTTCTTTTATTTACTCATTCTTTCTTTTATTGGGCAATGGGGGATGTGTGGGTGGCATGAAATAGACATCAATATTGCTTTACTCTATTGGTTTGTTTTTTTTTTTTAATTTAATTTTGTGTTTTGTTCTGTCAGTTAAAAAAGATCTTTGTCCTATCATAATTCTCAAAAAATAGTCTTTTTAATTGAACTGTAATTAAGTGTAAATATTGTTTTGTTTTGAATTTATTAGGATATTTTTTTTAAAAAAAGTTGTTCTGTTAATTGAAGTGATTTGGTATGATTAAAATTGTTTTTTGGGACAAAAAAAGTCTGTATCCCTGAAATTTAACAACAATTATTAAGAAACTTTAGTTGGGAGCAATTGCTAGGAAAAATACAACAAATGACGGCTACAGTTTAAGATATTAAAGGTACAGAGATGCTCAGCTTAGAATTTAAAATTTGATATCTACTATATCTAGATGTTTAACTTTGCCCATCTCATTAAAAACAATGATAAAAATAAAAGCCAAAGTGAGAAGGGAAAAAATGCATAAATACTTACCTTGAAAGATGATGCAGAGGCAGTGGACAGGCTAGTTCCTGAGGTCAAGGACAATAATGAGCCATGTCTTTTAAGGCTATTTTCACTGCCATAACCAGATTCTGTCTGCTGGTAGAAAAGAAGCATAATGTATGAATCAATTCATTTGTAAACAAGAAAAAAAAAAAAAAAAGATTACGATGTCTCTTAAAAGATTACATAGAGAATTCATAAGAAAATTCAGTTAATTTTCTTTTTATTGAAATGTTTTTTTATTAGAAATATTTTTCTGCACATATATAACATGCGATCTTAAATGCAAATTTAAGAACATATAAATAGAAAGAAAACTGATAAGAATGGCATTAAACAATTTATATTAGACAAGCTTAAAGATTTAATAAATATTTTTTTAATAAATCCGATATTTGATGGCTGAGGTCAACTTTTGCACAAGTCCACATTTATGGAGAATTCAGTAAGGAAAGAAATTCACCAACAATGGCTCAATAGGCTAGTATGCTAAATGTAGGAGTGAGGGAAAAAAACAGAACTTTTCAAGAATATTAGCAAGGTAATAATTCCTAATTCAGAGTGGTACAGATTTACTGGTCAATTCCTAAAATACATTATGTATCCACATGTCCACTTGAAGGAAATATAACCTAAGACTGTTTAAAGTGGGAATATCATACCTACATAGGATTGGTAACAAATTTATCTATTACCTTAGCACTTCTTTATTGGGATGTCTGAGGTATGACATTCCATTTTAAAATATAGTATACAGTTTTTATTAAAAAAAATAAGAAAATCTTTATTTGGTAATTAAACAATACTGTAACTTTCAACTGCTACTAATAAATCAGAAAAATATGAGAATGTATAATGGTTGATTGATTTGTTTTTACAGTTTATCAAACATATGCTTATATGTATGTGTGTGTATATATATGTGTGCGTATGTGTGTGTGTATATATATATATATATATATATATATATGTGTATATGTGTGTGTGTGTGTGTGTGTGTAAATGTTTGTCTGTTGTCTGGCTTTTCTGTTTCTGTCTGTAGTGAAGAATGTATGTACACATATGTCTGTATGTAGTTTTTATTTTCTTTCACCTACTATTATATTTTTGTACTCGTATATGTGCACTAGTGCGTATATAGGTATATATGAAATATATTTTTATATATATTTGTGTGTTTGGAGTTTTTGTATTTATATATTAGATGGTGTTATTTTTAGGGGTATATATCTATTTTTCTGTCCATGTCTATCTGTTTTAATGTCCTTTCTTTTCCTAATGTTTGCTATCTATTCTACCATTTTTATCTATGTATATTTGCCCATATAGGTTTATTTTAATAAGTAGTTAGAATTTGTTTAATAACATTTTCAAACTTGAATATTTCTTGGTAGGTGTATCGGCATGTTTTTGTCAATGTAAGTGTGTGTATGTACATGTCTTTAGCGGTGTCTGTGTGTATGGTCACTTGTGTGTACCTTTCATTGTGTATGTATGTTGTGTTTTTTTTGTTTTTTTTTTAAAGGGTCATGGAGATATTTCCTGTCTCGTCACTTTTTTGTGTGTGTATATATCTAAATACATCTGCGTGTTTATGTATTATAATCTGATTATGTATTGTTGTTTGCAAGATGTCATCCTCCCCTGCCTCTGTTTATGCTTCAAATGTATCTATGTTGTCATGAAGTTCAGAGCAACATTTGATCTTAATGTTTATTCCAACTTAATTTCAATAAAAAACAAAATAAATAGAATAACATATGTATTTTTTCTTTTTTCCTCAGTAATTTTATAATTTTAAACTTAATATAGATTAAATTTAAATTTTAAAATGGGTAATTTTTAATTTCAAATTTTAACATGTAATTTAATATTTATTAGTTAGAATAAATTCTATTTTAGTCTAACCCCAACATTAAAGAATTAAATAATTATTATAACCTTAGTTCGGTGCAAGTTTTTTGAATTCTCGTATACTTGTATTTTGATTGGTCATTCCAGCTTATGTAACAGCGTTTCCCTTAGCGAGGGGTGTTTGATTGATTTGAACCTTTTAAGACACTTTATTCTACATTCAACATCATCACTTGATAAGACACTAGAAGTGTTGAAAGAAAATGGCTATTTTGTAGTGATTTTATAACATATTTATGTTATAATTTTCAAATAAATAATTATATTTGCTCTACTCTGTATTGAGCACTCTTAAGAATAGTATTTGCTGGTTATTGGAATTTATTCCATATACCAAGGGTATTTGTGCATAAGTGAATGTAATGACCCCCAACTGGAATAAGAATGTGTAATAAATGTGATAAAAATCTATGCTGCAGCATAGTGCAAGTGAGCAATCCAAATGAGATAATTATAAGTTTTGAGAGATAGGATATTGTTGTAACCTAGGGAAGGTTACTGAATAGAATAATCACATAAATGAATGATAATACTTAAGACACAAACAACACATAAATTCGCCAGCGGCATGTAGAAGTAGTAGTCAACTGCTAGAAGTGAGTCAAGTGAATTCCACAATGAATCTCCAACTGCCGACCAACAAAGTATTTACTACTGTATTTATGTGAATGGGGACATACCCATTATCGTTAAAGGTAGAATTAAACTGATTAATAATTAGAAGTTTAAACATTTCAAAGAAATCCATATTTTTAAAAATAAGTGAAAAACTGATATACAAAATAAAAATAATATACATGAAAAGTTTAAAACTAAAATAATCAAGAAAATATAAAGATGAAATGTCCTCCAAGAAAAATGGAAACGTTTTCATCATAGAATTAAGAATCTTAATTCCAGAGTCACCCCAAATGCAAAAATTAAATTTGCCTAAAGATGGTAATCAATCATGTTGAAGTTTTCATTTAGAAATGTTATAAAATAAAACTGAAATAAACTTGGAATATCTCCCCACCCCCTCAAAAAAAAAAAAAAAAAAAAAAAAAAAAAAAACAGAATTAGAGATGATGAAGAAGAAAAAATGTATCCTTCATTTTACTGAAGAGCAAATGTGGATAATGAAGACTAAACAAAAGAACAAATGTTTATTATGTTGGAATTTTTAAAATGAGCAATTATTATATGTTATATATTCAGACTAGGAAGCTCATCTCTATTGTCATAACCACAATACTTTAGGCATTATACACTCTAGTCGACTTCAGGTGTGTCATATTTGTTAGCCTACTCAGAATTTTGAACCAAACTTTTTAATTCAATCTATGAAGGTAGATTGTTCTCATTCCACTTTTGATGCTTAGGTGATAGCTCATATCAGATAAAACTCCCCAATCTATTTAGTCTTTCATGTTTTTCATCCATTTCTTCCACTGAACCAGAATATATGATTTTATTGTATTATCTGACCCACAGGTAGAACTCACAACTGCCAGGAAATCCGGTGTCTTAACCAATGCTTTAATCTACTTGACCATGTGTCTCTGAGACAATTCAGTGGTGAAGATTTTGAACCTTAAACTTAATGTCTATACATAGATTTTGTCCTTTCTTAATCAGAGACTCCCAGATGCTGTTTATCCACCTGTTCAGTACACTGAGGAGATTGTCAAAGCCTAACATGTGGGCTGTTTCTTTCAGTTATCTTATCCTGCAGTATTTTCCTTCCCTATATGAACAGCTATGCCTCTTGCCAGATTACATATGGTATTTCAAGTTCCCTTCACCTTTTCAGGGAGCAACTAGGTGTTTCTTTGTATCTCTTGTTACATCTTCATGAAATAGAATATACACCATTCTTGATAATGTTCTCTTCCAAGTTTCCCTTGGAAGATATCTCCAAAGGGTCAAAGGGGGGAGGGGAGAAAAAATAGTGGTCATATTAATTATATATATATATATCAATGTAAAGGAAATCTAGTTTCAATTAACTTTTTAAAAAGGTGTAGAGTATAAAAATGCATAGATTTTTTTTTAATCATTTGACCCGAAGCAAAGGCAATAAAGACACTAAGGCACAAGTTGTTACTGATTGTGAAAGAATATGAGAAAAAATAAAACATTATTAAGGAGAGAGAATAATAAAAGAACAAGAATTGAAACAGAAAATAATGATTAACACTGCATTTGAATTTTTGAAGATCAAAGTTGACTGGCAAGCAAGAAGCCAGGAGAGAGTTCCACAAATGAGAAGTGCAAGAGAAGAAACTATTATGGTTACATATAGCAATTTCAACTGTAAAATTGCTGCCAATCTAGTACTGTACTTAAATTTGTGAAGTCAAGGTATCAGAGAATAAAGCTCATCAGAACAATAACCACAAAATATTTATAGAAATGGCACAAAGAAGCTAGGTTACAGTGGTATGATGCCAGATCAGGACTTATAATATTGCAAATTCTCCAATGCAACACATTGAACAAACTTGCCTAGAAGCAGATATAGCAAATGATTCAATATAATCTTTCCACTTCATGTTAGCAGAAAACATTAGCCTGAGAAGGAGCATAAAGATGACCGTGTGAAGTGAGATGCTTAACCAATTAAGATTTAACTCAATCTTCTAGTACTTTGCTGAAATGAGATAGGCAGCTAATAGGCTGATAGAAGGATCAGATGGTTCACCTGAATAGTTAGGAACTACGGAAGACAATTTCCAACAAGTAGCAAGGAATTTCTTGAGTTTAGAGAGAACAGGAGTCAGTTCAGCAGCACATTTGTTAAGGACTTTTGCAGTGATATCATCAAGTCCACGTGCTTTGTGGGATCCAGTTTAGTGTCAATAACAGAAACCATGGACAAAGTTATATGCATATCACACAGTAAAGACTCAGTTATAATATGAAAGTTATTTAGTATTACCTATAGATAGATTTTGTGGGAGAAAATGTGCAAGTGTGCTCGGAGAAAACAAGTCTTACAGAAAAAGAGTGATGTAATATAATTAACATATGGTTTATGAAATGATTTCCTAAGATAGGACAGGGGGGAGGGGAATTGATACACCAACGTCATTTTGGGTGGGGATATATAAACAGAGAGTGGGGCAGATAGAATTGCTCCGGATTTGCCTCATAGACCCCCTATCACCATCACAAGAACACACCTGCATTCTCACGGCCGAAGCGAACACACCGACACACACAGGACAGAAGAATTAAGTGAGAGGTGACAGGCTAGTCTTGAATCTAGCAATTACTGCTAGATTTCTCAGGCCACAATTCAGCAGGGTAGAACTTAGCCCTTTGTAGATAACAGAGATGTTGTATTCACCAGTTTAAATATTGAATAAACCTGTTCTTCGTGTCATCAACAGAGTTGTCCTTTATTTGAGAATTTCTCATCTCAGCTTTTATTCCCGATGTTGTCCCAGATGCAAAGTATCAACATGGCCACAGTCAAGAATTGCTCATTTCTTATTTATGGTACATAACATATATTTTGGCCCACCACTAGACATAACTGTCAATATTGCAAGATTTTGAGAAACTCAAATCAACCCTACCAAGACGACACAACAGCCCCAACTGAGGAGGGAAAAGAAAGCTGGATGACCCATAAGGTCAGTGTTATTCAACAGAGATAGCAACTGAAGGAAGATTGAGGGTTACAATGCTGTTTTTAAACCTCACTGGGAACTTATAGTTTATACATTCTGATCTGCACTTAAGTTGCAAATAAAAGCAAAGAAAATTACAAGTCAAAATTAATCATAATTTATCATAGCTAAAATATTAAAAGAAAAAAAATATGAATAATTCAAAAACTTATGGAATGTTAAAAAAATGGCTGGAAAAGAAGGGAAAAAAAAAAAAAAAAAAAAAAAAAAATCACATTTTTATTCAAAGTTTGTTTTAATCCTAAAGTCTTTACATATGTTAATCTCCTGTAGGGGTCACTGGCATGTGCAAAATTAAATCTAGCTATATTAGCCAAAAATAAAGGCACACTGAGAAATATGCTTTGATAAAAATACATCATATTTTGGTCAGGAATACTCTTTTTGTTGATAATTCATTTTATATGCAATCAATTAAGGGTAATTATTTTCTAGTGATGAGAAATCATTATTTGCTAAAAAGCGGACACATTTAACACCATATTTTTTCTTTGACAGCTGTAATCCAGGTTTTGCATACTGAATTTTGGGGCTTGATTTATACAAAGATATTGACTATGTGTGTTGGTTATCAAAATCTTAAAATTAGTCCTAAAATGCAGAAAATTCACTTAACTCCCAAATCCCTTCTCAAAATTGATGATACATCAGCAGCTGACCTGGAAAAATGAAAGCCATAATACCATATTGCTTGTCAGAAAAAAGGCCCTGCAATGAGAGATGCTTAACTAATTCAGCATTGATTAAGGCCTCTAAAAGTTTCCCAAAAAGAGGTAGAAGGCCAATAAGTCAATAGTTGGAAGGGTCGAACAATTCACCATTCTTAAAAACTGGAACAACAAATGAGGATTTCAAGCAGGCAGGAAAGCCAGAGGAAGCAAGGCATTTATACAGTTTAGAGAGAAAAGGATCCAGTTCAGGAGCATACTAAGGACTATTACAGGAATACCATCAGGTCCACATGATTTGTGGGGATCCAAATTAGAGATGATATCACAAGTAAACTATCATTGTTCAAATTACCTATAGACAATATTTTGTAATTTTTTTGATCAAAATACAAATTACTTTCTAGTTAGAACAAAGGGGTTTTGTTAAAGGAAAAATAACATGTCTGAGGGCATGAAAAAATAGCATAAATACAAGAATAAAACTATGAAGTTAAATTCAAACTAGAAAAAAGAAACTATAAAAATCAACAAAGCATAAACTGAATAGTGTTTATCTAAGCAGTGACTTCCTCAATCCTAAAGAACTGCATAATAAAGAGAATATTAATATACCTACTAACTTCTCTATTGAAAAACTTTTCATTAAGATTTTTTGGCAAAATGCAGTGACAACCAAAGTGTAAAGCTATGGTTTTAATACCATTAAAATGCAAGTACACAAGGAAAAAGAAAATAACTAAAGTTGTGAATATCAAATCAGAAAATACTTTCAGGTTAATGAGACTTCTTAAACTTCACTAGTTGCACAAAAAGGAAACTTAGGTTATAAAAATTTGTATATATTTTCATTACAAGAGTGAATACAAGTTAGTTAATTGGAAATGTTAGTAGTATCAAACATGTTCATCAGAAGTACACTTCTCAAATCATACTGAAACCTAAATAAACTTCTTTAAGAATGAAAGATGACATACCGACTTCATATGTCCAAATAAGAGATTAATGTCGTATATAAAACAAAGTCAACAAGAAGAGAGATTAACATTTAGCTTCCAATTCACAAAAGCTACTTAGTACCCAGCCATAAGACAAAATCGCTTCCCTTAAGAACTAGATTGCCCTTATATATGTATGACTGTCTTACACTGAAAGGGTCACAAACTTTCATCTCATTTTGCTATTACTCTATGTAGAGTGTGCTTCATTTTTATTACTTGAAGTTCACAATGTCAAAATCACTCTCCAGAATGTTACTGAATCTTCAGTTATTGGTGTCCTTATCTACTAGAAACTTGAAAGCCAAAACAAGACAAGGAAACAGTTCTTACATAATCTTAAATTGTTTTTTTGTGTTTATCCAATAGTTAACAGTTGGATCAAGTTAGAAAAGTCATATCTACCAAAACATTCAAACCCTCCTTTTTGTAACTGTCTTTGCTTATAATAAGAATACTTGTGCTTGGTATTAATTATCATTAAATTTATTGCTGTTGATAAGATAAATTATATTATACTGTGCTACTAATAATACAATACTTAAAACAAAGCATTATTTTCTTAAAAACAAAGGATTTTATTTTAAAAAAAAAACAGCAAAAAATATTAAGTAAATTTTGAAAGTGAGTTACTAGAAAAACAGTCAGTTTAAAATGAAAAAATAATTAATCTATAAAATTACCTTGTGTAACTCTATGGCCCTCACCCATTGCTGGCGTTCATCAATATCTTTGGCACGTAAATACCATACACTGTCATTGACACTGACATCAAATCGGCATTCATCAAAAGGATGTGGCTGCAAAAATTAAAATGAGTATTAACCCAATGACAGAACATTCTAAAAAAAATTATTTTTAAAACATTTTAAAATACATCTAAGAAAAACTGACAAAATAATAAATTTTGTAGTATATGGCAGGAAATAGTGAATTATTAAATTACATGAAGAAACTAACATGAATGAAGTAAAATACTTGAATGTTATGGCTTCAGAACTAAATGATGAAAATGATTTAATACCTATATAAAGCATTTAATTAGGATATAGTTACATATGAATTTTATAATTTGCTTTGGTTGATAAGCATTTTTTTCTAATTCAGTAATGGTAATGAACTTGCTGAAAGAAAAAGCAGCTATAGAGAAATTTTGTCACTATTTTTATTAATAGATTCATAGAATTGTGAAATGAAAGCACAAAAATTATGCAAAACAAATTTTCATGAATATCAATTACCAATCAACAATAAAATAATGCTTCATTAAAAACATTTCATTAAAATTTTAAAATAAAATAGATAAGCAAAATATGTCATCAGCAAATAAAAAAGCAGTTGTGTTCAAGAAATACCTTTTTATTTAAACATTGTGGTATTGGTTAGGTATAAACTAGGTATCCCAAACTAAACTTTTATTTTTAATATATCTAAAAACCTTTAATACAGTCACAGAGATCTTGACAAACCATAAAAAAATAGTACTAAATTTATTTTGGTAGCTCAATTAGCAACAGAGTTATGACCCATCAAAGTTCATAAAAACATTTCCATCTCTTGCGCTATTGGAAAAAAAAGTTAAAAATCATTATAAATATTATGTCATATAGGTATTTTTGAAGTAAAAGATAATACTAACGAAATCAATAATTCTTAGAGCAGACCAGCCTAAACATTGGGAAAATAATTTTCATGAAAACAAAATTGTAAAGTTATGAAAGGTAAATTTGACAGGTAATATAAGTTTCATTTCAACAGTTAATGCCTTGCAACTTCTTCCTATACTTCATAGCACAACAGAGATGAAGCTAATTGTTTTTTAAATAGTACATTATTAAAAAAAAAAAATTATAAAAAACTATATTTGCACCACATACAAACAGTCAAAAGTGAAATTTGGCAGAAGATCAAAAAAAGTCAAAAGAATACTATACTAAACCTGCCCTAAAAATGTATTTATTAGAGATACATGCCTGAAACTTTACTAATCTTGGCATGAGGTATTCAACAAAATAGCTCTTTTCACTATAATATCAATAGAGTCATTTCATGTCAAATCAACAAGGGTTTGACCATCACCAGCACAAATTTTTTAAAATTCAGTACACTTAGAGAGCTTCATGAAAGAAATTGAATGGTACCTATTTTACACCTCTAGGTCAAAGGGTTCCAGAGATATGACTCTTTGACCCTTGCCAAAAAAGTGAATTTTGGTAAATACTCCAAAGTTTAAATATTAATATCTTGGTTGTTCTTTCACCAACAAAGCAAAATTATATACCATTTTAAAATACTTGGATAGATTTAAATGGTGATCTATTTATTTTTTTTCTTAAAAAGGTCAAATAAGGTAATTTGACCTCTAATTTCTCAAAAAACGGTTCGTTATTTTTTTTTAAAATTTGACAACAAATTTGCTTGCTTTATGGCAAGATATGCACAAAATTTGTAGTGAACTTTTGACTGTGGCCTGAGTTACAAGGGTTTTACTAAGTTGGGCCAAATTCAAAATGGCAGATTTTGGTATTTGTCATTATATGCTAACATTTTCATCTCTCCCAATAGCGTCAAGTTGCATATCTCTAGAAAGCTCTTTGAGTGCTGATTAATATCCACATAAGAACTATGATCATAAAATCAACAGAATTTATGCTATTTATGGTTAAATGTTGACCAATTCGGTAGAAAATAAGCAACCTTATTTTTGGTTTGCATTTTTATTATACAAAAAATAAATTTTTATATGAAAAAGTGAAAATAATTATTTAAATGTGTCATAAATTAATGTTAACATAAAATATTATCAAAATATGTAACAAATGATGTTAATGGTTAACAAATTTTTGTACATTTATTTAGAGTACCATGTCAAATGGTACTCTAAATAAATGTACAAAACAATCAATTTGTAGTTTTTTTATTTAAATTTTAAGCTTTAATCTGAAAAAGTGATACATTGATTTGAATATTTAAAAAAAAAAAAAAAAAATGATGCATAACATTAACAGAGTTTAACAAGCAAAATTATTTTTCTTGTTGGAATACATGCTTAAATAAAAAATAAAAATTTGGATATGCAAACCACTTTTTCACTCAAATTTTTTGTGATGACCAAACTTGATTGTATCTTAAGTTATTTCAAGAAATTCTCTTTCCTAAAATATTTGAAGCTTCTTCCATCTCACTTTTTGTAAGTTTATAAGTTCTTGTAGTGTCAGTTCAACTAAGAATATCAGAATAATTTAAAATTAATATATCACTATGTAATTGATAACAGAAAGATAGGGAGGTCTTCAGTTGTAAAAATATCAATTTTACCTCATCATTATCAGGATATTTTCAAGCATACATCCTAACCACCAATTCCTATCATAGATTGCTGTAACAAATCCCTTAATGTTTTCAAGCTCTATATTGGCCTGTTTTATAATTCTAATATTTTTCTTTTATCCTGTGTTGACACTGTTTTTACTTCTACCTCTTCCTGAGACACAGGAATAAAACTATCTAGTTTTTGAGTTCCTGTAATTTTTTTAGGTATGTTTTAATCTATTTTCTAAGATTTCTGCTTCATTTGTCTGTTCATTTGTCAGTAATAAAAAAATATTTATGCCTGAACTATTTTTTCTTGCAGAATCTAACAACTGTCTTGATGTCATTTTTTTCATTATAGGGTTACTGCAGCTTGCTTTTGCTGCTAATCTCTTAATGAAGCCACCTATCCCATCACATAGTCCTTTCCCATAAGATGTAGCAAAAAAGTACCACTCTGCATCAATACCAAAGTCGGCCTTATGATCGCATAAATTGATAAAATTTTTTATTTTAAAATTAAGATTCTTTTTCAGTACTTCTATAAGTTTTCTTTGGAACAAATGGAGAGCTACTGTGTCATGCTTGAGACAATCTGATATAATTGCAATATTAATATGCTCCAGTTATTTCTGTAATACAAGACAAATAGATGTTATATGACTTAAGAATTATTCTAGTGGAAGCCTTGTGTTGAATCCTGCAAAATATGAATAATTCTCAGCAAAATCTGCAATAACTATGACTTCACCATTCATCAAAGAACTTAGAACAAAATTTTGATTGTTTTTTGGCAATAAAATCATGCTTTTTTAAGGTTTGAAGGCCTGCACAAAAAGTTTCAATAAATTCTTCTGTAGATTGTGATACAATTTGTGGTGTGGTTCTATCAGTTGATAACCACTGTTTGTAGATAAAATCATCTATTAAATTTTTAGTTACAATTCCTTCTATATATAAAACAAAATCCTCCATCAAATTGAGCAGTCACCCATGTAGCAGTTAGATGTTGCTTCATTGGATGTAACAGTAATCTGTTAAATGATATTGTTCATCTTGAGTCAGTGTACCAAAATGAGCCCCCACAATCACCAGATTCATATTTTGATGCATTGTGCAAACATAGATACAGTATGTTCCAGCACCACCTGCTAGGATACATTCTTTTGGTCTGCGCTAGGCCAATTTTGAAAAACTTATTCTGTCAGATTTTTTTTATTTAGATAATTGGTATGTCCTTCAAGTTACAAAATACAAGATGCTTTTGTTCCTGAAATCTTCATTTTTCCAGGCATCACTCTGATGTCTTCTTCACTCTTATGAAACAGCAAAACTTCATCAATTGTCTTTTGTGGGAATCTACATTTTCATATATTTGGTAGAATTAATATTCCTTGTTTATTTATAATTTTTTTGGCTTGTCTTGCTATGTATGTTGTGGTACCAAATTCTATTTGAATTCTTTGAATGCTTCAGCTTTTCAGAAGTATTGTCAAAATTTGTACTTTTGGGGACTGCTTTTCACAAGCTGCAAACTTTTCTTTCAATTGTGTAATAATTTCACTTTCATCAGATTTTTTTGTGCTCTTCTACACTGGTAGATTCTTAGTGAGAAATTTTAGTTGGAATCAATTTAGTTTTCTTTGATACTGCTCCTTTTTAATTTTTCCTACTTTTTATTCCTCATAATTGGTATGTTCTGAAGTACTTTCAGAAAACTGATAATTGTAGTTAACAACAGGCACAAATTTTTCTTAAAAAAAAATTAAAACATTTTTTTTTTCTTTGAGAAATTAAGGTTAAATTAGGTTAAGGTCTAACTACCTTAACTGACCTTTAAACAAAATAATAATAATAATATTAATAATATTAATCACCTTTTAGATCTATCCAAGTACTTTAAAATGGTATATAATTTTGCTTTGTTGGTGAAAAAAAAAAAAACAACCAAGATATTAATATTTAAACTTTGGAGTATTTACCTAAATTCACCTTCTTCATTCCATTCAAGGGTCATATCTCTGGAGCCCTTTGACCTAGAGATGTAAAATAGGTACCATTTAATTTCTATCATGAAGATCTGTAAGTGTACTGAATTTGAAAAAATCTGTTGGTGATGGTCAGACACTTGTTGATTTGACTCAATACTTTTTGTAATCATATATATCTTATTTTGGAAAATTTTGTGAAATTATATAAATTTTCAATTTGTCACAAACAGGATAGTAATGACCACAAAAGGGAAATACTTTATAATAATGTTTTAAAAGTCTTCAGTTTTAAACTAATAGAAAAAACTTTCTGGACATTCTTCTCATAATAGTGATTTATCAACAATTTCCTTATAAAGTTTTGATATAGCTAATATTTCTGGAACACTATATATATCCAGACATTACACCAAATTCCCATCTGAATGTAAATGTTGATTCTACTTGTGCAGTTTCATCTGACAAAAAATAACTTCTGCTCTTTGTTGGAGTTCAAA